TTGATAGGAAGAAGCTATATTTTGTTTTTATGAAAACAAATCTCAATTTTGCTTTTTTGATACATAAAAAGTTTTTAGTCTTCATTTTCTAGTGTCTTCTCTGTGTCTAGTTCCGTTCTCTGCCTTGTATATTTTTTCTCTTTCTTTTTATCCGATCTCTCTGTTTTATGTTCAATCTCTAAACAGTCTTTTCCTTCTATTAGCTTTAATTTTTCAGCCTCTCTTCTCCCTATCTAATTTCTTCCTTGCCTTGGTAGGCTTCTTCTTTCCAATTTTTTCGCAATCCCTTTCCATCATGTTTCAGTTCTCTTCATGTTCGGTAACTTGATTACGTTATAATATTGTGAGTAGCTTGAAAGGATTGATTAAATAAGTTGGTTATAATGTAAATTCCTAACAATGTAATTACTTTTATGCGTTCAAAGGGTTGAGTTTAAAGCACTCGCGGTACACCGCTTTTGAACTGGCAAGCTTATGGTGGAGTGTCAGTTGACGGTGGTTTAACGCCGTTGGTGTAGAATATGGCGAATTGCCATATTCGCGGCAACAACATATTTAGTTAGGCGGCGCTTAAAGGGAATCGGTAATGCGGTATATTGCTCCCGTTTTGGGCCCCCATTGTTGTAGTACGCGGCGTGCAACGCAAATGGATTCTTCATGGACAACTGACTTGGCGAGCGGTGGCATGGCGGTGAGTTATCCGGCGTTCATTTAACGGCCGCCGCTCCATTGTGTATAATTCTGTTATATTCCGAGGCCGTATTTCGTACGCTTTCGGACCGGGAGGCGCATTTTTCAGACCTTATCCCACTCTCTTTATACTTTATTTACCTTTTCTTTTGAATCCCATCCCCAGACGGTTGTATTTCAATTTAATTTTTTTGGTTCTCGTGTTTACAAAATAAACTCAGACCGTGTTATTTTATTTATATTATAAATTACGATTTTCTTGTATAATATAATTTTAACCAGAAAATAATGTTTTGTGAATCAAAATGTAATCTAAGAGAAATTAAAACGTATAAAAACGAACAATTTAAGTTAGAGAGGTTTTTAATTAAGAAGTCTGGAGGATGGGAAAAGACGGTTTTAGTGCAAATAAAATTCCCGGACTCTTACGAATGAATAAATTAAGCCCCCAGGGATGCATTAGCGTTAAAAGAGTGCAAGCAGAGATGGTCGTGTGCATTACTAAAACACGGCAGTTTATCATGTGGAACGGAAAAGTGTGAAGGCGCCATTAACGCCCGTTATAAAAGATTCAATTAACGCCCCGCTCGGGATTACAGGTGAGGGTAAATAAACGTAAATTTTTACGACACACACATACAAACGACGGGGGCACAACGTCGCGCGGTTTACCGTGCGTTTCCGGTCGTTTCCGACACGGGGTCAAGGACGCCGCCCCAGTTTTAACGATCCACACTGCGGAGAAACCGTTGTAATAACGATCTTGCCCGTTTTGATGTTATGGCAAATACCCACAACATCTCAGTTTCACGTGAATGAATGTCCTCATCTTTTTTGATTTTGAAAATATCTTATATAAATCAATTTATGCTATATTTACACTATATACAGGATGATTTATTAGCTCACCATCAAATTTTGACATGTCATAGCTAATCCTATTACCAAAAAAAAGTGTTAATGAACATATGTTCTAATTCAATTATAGATATTCAACAAAAACAAAGTTGTCATTGTAATATGTCAGTTTGCTGTAAGGTTTAATTATTACATACAAAAAGAAACTCAAAATGTACGCTTATAGTACTGAAGAGTATGCTGATATAATTTGCAATGGAAATGCTCGACAATCAGTATGAGAATATCAAGAAACATTTCCACAGTGTCATTTGCCATATTATTCAGTTTTTAGCGATTCTTTCAGAAGACTTCGAGAAACAGGTAACCAGCAAAAGCTATTCGACCGCATGTAGTTAATGTAGAGGACGAAGAAGCTGTAATTAATGCTGTCATTGATAATCCTTCCATCAGCACTCGAAGAATAGCACACAACATCGTAAACAGAATGTTCAAGCTCTACAGCCAGGAAATAATCAGCAACGGTTAGCATTTTGTGAATGGTTATTGCAGCAACATGCCCAAAATAATGACTTCATTTCAAATGTTCTCTGGACAGATGAATCATGTGGAATATTTAACAACAATTTACTAGATTTGCATGTACTTGATGGACGTTTGAACGCTGCAAATTACAGATTTTTTTTGAGCAATACACTCTTTGATTTACTTGAAGATATACCTCTTAATGTAATTCAAAAAATGTGGTACCAGCACGATGGTGCCCCACCTCATCGCGGAAGACCAATATATATAAACCAACATTTTGCAAACAAGTGGATTAGTAATAATGGTCCATTTGCTTGGCTACCTAGATCCCCCGACCTTAATCCATTCGATTTCTACTTATGGGGTAAAATGAAACAACTTGTGTATCAAGTGGAAATTAACACACGAAATCTAAGAAAATAAGAAATCAACCAGACATTTTAATTCGGCTGAAGAACTCTTTAATTCGTCGTTGTGAAGCATGATTTCTAGAGAGGTTTAATTTACACAATGAGTTGCAATCGGGTTTTCGCAGTGGGCATAGTACAACTACTGCTCTCATTAAAGTTACTGATGATATTAGGTATGCCTGCGACAACAGATGTGTTACTGTGCTGGTACTGCTCGATTTCAGCAAGGCTTTTGATTCTGTCGACCACAGCCTTCTTTTAGCGTCTCTTTCTGCCTACGGATTCACTCCCCCCTGTGTTTCTTGGTTTCAATCCTACCTTTCCCATCGCTCCTTGTGCGTACGCGCTAACTCTTCAATTTCTTCTGCTTGTGCAATCAAATGTGGTGTTCCTCAGGGCAGTGTATTGGGTCCGTTACTTTTTTCTTTGTTCGTTAATAGTGTTACTAATTATATCTCGTGTAATTATCATTTGTATGCCGACGACCTGCAGATATATACTACTACTACTGTTGCTGAATTTCCGGCAGCTATTGTGCGACTTAATAACGATCTATCTAACGTCTTGAACTGGTCTCGGAGATACGGACTTAAGTTGAACTCAGTTAAAACGCAAGCTATTGTGTTTGGAACTCGTCAATTACTTGGTAAGATTAATCCATCTGCCTGCAGTGATCTGATGCTGGATGGTAATGTCATACGGTTTTCTAACACAGTTAAAAATCTTGGAGTCCTTATGGATTCTGCACTGTCTTGGAAACCGCAAATTCAACATGTTTGCAGAAAAGTCTATGCTTGCTTCCACTCTTTAAAAAGACTTCGCTGCTCTCTTCCTCCTGTGGTGCGTCGTAATCTTTGTTACTCTCTTATATTTCCTCACTTCGACTATGCGGACGCGGTTTATCCCGATCTCTCGGTGACTCTTCTGAGTAAATTGCAGCGGCTACAAAATAATTGTATCCGGTTCATATTTGACCTAAATAGATTTGAGCATGTAACGCCGTATCGCAATTACATTCAGATGTTAACCTGTGAGAGACGTAGATCCTTTCGTTTATTAACCATTTTATTTAAAATCCTTCATAACTGCACCCCAAAGTACTTATCAGATAGGTTCCAGCAATTATCAACTCATGAGCTTGCTACTCGTTCACGTTCTGATACTATTCTTACATTTCCCGTTCATAGCACTGAAATTTATCATAGATCATTTACAGTACAGTCGATTGCGCTGTGGAATGGACTGCCTTCTGAAATTCGTAATATTTCTAGAATTACTAATTTTAGACATGTTTTAAAGAGCCACTTGCTTGCCCTTCAACTGGCTGTTTCCTGATTCTTTGTTCTTTGTCTTTCTTTTTTTTTCCTCTCTTCAACTGCTCTCACTTGTTGGCAACTGATATCCGGCAGATTCTTTTAGTTTCTTTTAGTCGCTCTCTATCTCTCTTTTTGTGTCTTTTCTTTATTTTTCTCTTTGTTTTTCTTTTCTTGCTTAATCTTATTTGGTGATGTTAATAATATCTAATTATCACTACTTGCCATATTCAGCAAATACTATTTTTATTTTTGTTTGTTCTGTTGGGTCATTTGGCAGAGATCGCTTGTGCGATAAAATGATCCATTTGCTGATACTGTTTAAGTTAAGTGTATCTTATGTAATTTTGTATTTTTGTCTGTGGCAATAAATGATAAATAAATAAATAAATAAATGTATTCTAGCAGAAGGAGGCTATTTTGAACAATATTTGTAATATTTATGTGTTTTAAAAAAATGTTGCAGTTAATTATGATATAAAAATTAAAACTTTAAAGTGTTATAATTTCGTAAATAATTGAAATAGGACATATGTTCATTAACATTTTTTTACACACCCTGTATAGTGGCTAAACACGAAACTTTCTACTTTCAGGTCTAGTGTTAGTTCTAGTTTTAGTTCAATAAAAACATACAACAATCTAATGCTGAATAACAACTAAAACTAGAAATAACACTAACATTAGAACCAACACTAGACCTAGAACTAGAATCATTCGGGATTAGCCGTCTTAAGAGACGTACGGATAAACCCGAATGATTCTAGTTCTAGATCTAGTGTTAGTTCTAGTTTTAGCTAACAACTAAAACTAGAAATAACACTAACATTAGAACCAACACTAGACCTAGAACTAGAATCATTCGGGATTAGCCGTCTTAAGAGACGTACGGATAAACCCGAATGATTCTAGTTCTAGATCTAGTGTTAGTTCTAGTTTTAGCTCAATAAAAACATACAACAATCTAGCACTGAATCACAATTAAAACTAGAATTAGAAACATTCGGGTTTAGCCGCACGTCTCTCAAGACGGTTAAACCCGAATGATTCTAGTTCTAGGTCTTGTGTTAGTTCTAGTGATAGTGCTGGTGTAAAACTAGAACTAACACTAGACCTAGAACTAGAAACATTCTAGAAGAAACGTCTGAAGACGCACGGCTAAACCCGAAACATTCTAGTTCTAGGGTTAGTTCTAGTTTTTGTTCAATGAAAAATAATAACTCAGGAGATACCCCAAGTTTATCTATGAACATAGAATAAAGCAACTTGGGGAATAACCCAAGTTGGATTTTATCTATGATCGCTATGAACATTTGTATTTAAATATGTCTTAAAAATATTTTGTCCGTTATATTCGAGGTCCATTATATCGACGTTTTACTGTATTAGATTAGTCTTTATGATGAGGTTGTAACCTTAAGGCTAAGTCATAATGAGTGCCTTGTAAAGCCTTTTATCGATTTCTATAATAGTTGGATGGGTTCACTAATTGGAGTATGTAACAATGTGATATATATTTTTGCTTTGAAGAAGACGAAGAAGGAAATGGTGCTTATAGAAAATGCATAATATATCAAAAGATGTTTTGGAACAAGCATCAGTAGAGTAGAATACCTACTACACTACCTCCCAGTAGTGGTACTGTCTAGGATAAATATAACACGACCGCAACCGTAAATTTCAGACACGAATTCCGACCGGTCGAGCCCCCAACTTGAATATGATATGAGCACTGACGACCGCTGGTGCATACGCACGCAAAATTCCGTCCTGGGTGAAATTTATTATCGCGCGAAAATAATGCAAAGTTCGCCCTCGGCAGCGTCCGGATATTAGATTTTTTTTGTTGGGTTCTGTTTTCCGCGTTTCGGATTCGCTCCCCTTTTCCCGCCCGTTCATCGATACAGTAGGTGTTTGTTGACAGTTGGTCTCTATTGGAAATTTTCTGGCCTCCGCCCGTTTTTTTTTGTGCCAGCTCAGTACTTCGGTTCGTTGCACCTGGAACAAAAGCGATTTAAACGAGGGTTTACCTTTCGATTGTGAATGGCAATCAAACGTGTCCCCCCGTGTTCGCGTTCGGGTTCTGACACGTTTACAAAAATCCTGATGTTGTTACAAAATCCTGAAGCTGTTATAACGACACGCGCGAAATTTCAATCCTTTAAATCCAACGGAAACGATTAGAATTTTTCCTAAATCCAAAAGATAAAGCACCAACTCCTCCAAAAATTAATTAGTTTTAATTTATGGGCGAGAAGGGGAGAGAACAAAGTTAAGCTCTTAACAGGTAATAAGTACAAATAACCGGAAATGAGTAATAGCACGTAAATTTACGAAGCACCCAATTCAAAGCTTAATTAGAACTCATTTATCACTTGTATTATTTTTGAACTCAAAAACAATTCGACAAGCTTTGTAATTGTACTCATTGTTCATTGTAGTAGTTTCACAAACGTTACGGTTTGCGGTTAACATATTATGTAATGCATACATCGTTGTTTTCGCATTAGAATATTCTCCTGTATTAGTTAATTAGTTGCAAATTTGAATTTATAGCGATTACCAAGTTTCACCCATCAAAACGAAAATTGACGATAATATTAACGATATTATGATTAATAATTCGGTTAGAAATTGTAATTTATCCATCGTTGTTAATATTAACATTAAAAAGTTTCTATTAACATTAATATTTAGTTTATTGGAGAAAATTCACAAAATATATTTAATAAAATTTTGATTTTCAAGATTCTGAGAACTAAGGTCAACACTGAAACTATTTACAAAGATTCTCGAAAGAGAAATTTCCAATTCGAGTAGTAGGAACCTCCGAGAAGGAGTTATAGATTAAACATAAAAGTTAAGTGAAAGGAGCTTTGAAATAAGCTGACGATTTTGTGTTGATGTTTCAAATATAGCTTCTCGCTCGCAAGTGACCTTGGCGATTTAAGGTGAAATCGTTCCTCATATACTTTGGTAAAGATACAAAATCTCTTATAAATTGCCGAGGTTGTTTGCGAGCGAGGCACTAAAATTCTCCAAATCTGATGGTTTTGTATTAATATATCAAATCTCTTATAAGATAACGTTTACTCTCATTCCGCCGAGGTCGCTTGCGGCCTCGACGGAATCTACAAAATCTAGCGCCTCGCCCGCAAGCGACCTCGGCGGAGTGAGGAGAAACGTTGCCTTATAAGAGACTTTGTATCTTTACAAAGATATATAAGGAACGATTCCACCCCAAATCGCCGAGGTCGCTTGCGGGCAAGGCGCTAGAGTTCTTGAACATTGATGATTTCGTGTGGATATATTAAACCTAGTGCCTCGCTCGCAAGCGACCTCGGCGATTTGAGATGGAATCGTTCCTCATATATCTTGGTAAAGATGTAAAGTCTCTTATAAGATAACGTTTACCCTCACTCAGCCCGGTTACTTCCGGGCGAGGCGCAAGAATCTTGCAACGCAGACAATTTCGTATTGATACATCAAATCTAGCGCCTCGCCCGCAAGCGACCTCGGCGGAATGAGGCGAAATCGTTCCTTATTAGTATTGACGTTCCTTGTTTCTCACTCTTTCTTCTCTGTCTGTGTACATCAAATTTAATATATCAAGTTTATATCAGGTTAACCTTTCGTGGTTATGAAACATTTTTGGTAATATTACAAAAATAGCGGAACACCATTTTGTTGACATAATTGGAAAAGCTAAGATGAGCATTATTAGGTTAAAGACGCCTAATAAGCCGGTTTTAATATCGGCATTATACAAATGGGACCTTCCTCCTTAATGACCTGGGACCACAGCTGTCGAGTAAGGGTGCTAAAAAGGTCGATTGCGAAAACTATAAAAGTCACTCGCTACTTTTGTCGACCCCTTTGTTGTATCTCTGGACTAATTATCTTTCCACTAACTCTACCAGGACCCATCATTCCATTTTGGCAATGGAATAAAAAAGTTACACGTTTTTGAACAATTTCTCCTCAAAATATTAGTTTTTTTAAAATTCTTAATTCTAGTGAAGTAACTTTGCAAAATTAATCTTTGAATTTAACATAGAAATTCATCGAAGTGCTATAAATCTAAATTTATCTTCTATCTTCACTTACCGATATCTTAAATCAACAGTAGTATCTAATATTATTGTTGGAATAGTGTCAATGCACTTACTTTATTATTGTCAAATCACTGTACTATTTTCGTTCTCGCTCTACTGAAACGTCATATGGCCGAGCTACACCAATTACGCATCCTTTGAATAATGCCGCTGCGGTACACAGCAAACCTATGATTTAAACCTGCACTTAATTATCAGGGGTGGCGCCACAAATGATGCAGATGTTATCACAGTGCACGTGAAATCGATAGTGGTAGGTAGGAACAGCCGGAAGTGAGACGAATACAATCCGTCCAATTATAAATTTTAAGTTGCATCTGAAATGATATAATTTATAATAAATAATCTCGAAATAATTTTATTATCGATGTGGGTGACGACGTTTCACAAAGAACCGCCATAAAATTTATGCGCATCGATTACCCTAAAGTATCTTGCACACCTTATTGCAAGCTATTGCATAAAATTAAAATAAAATTTTCATTTAAATGGAAATTCGTGATATATTCGAACGTGCATTTTATTCTTTTAGTATTCGTAATGTTTCAGGAACTGATTTATAAGACATAATTCCAACTTTATTCCATGTCATTTAAACTAACTTTTAAAGTATCAATTTAAGAAAAAAAAAATTTATTTTTGAACAATAAAATTACGATATAGAAACGATATTGTTGTTATTACATATGGTTTTTGTTCCAATTTATTACCATGGCATATATTTTGACCATGCATTGCTGTAAACGTAGCGAGCGCTTATAAAAGCATTAATAAAACTCACGTCATAATTTAACGCGTTGGTTCACACGGTATTAAATTATCGCTTCGCAGGTAGAAAGAGGAACCAACTTGCTGTGCAAATGTGCGCTAAATTAAATCATATTATTTTATTATAAAATAAATTACGTTGTAGTCGTGTGAAAGAACGCAACTTTAATTAGTTAATTTTTGTATGGAATGCATAAACAGAAAATGATTTTTTTTAACAAACATAAAAGTCATATTAACCTAAAAGTTCTAAAACCTCCATTCGATTCGTCCCCTTTCCAAGGAAAGCCCATTAATACGGAAAGTTATAATAGGGTGAACTTTTCACTAGCTGTCCGCCTCATTAATCAGCCATATCTCCGATATTACATTGCGAAAACCGGATGTCGCGTGGACTGGCAACTTTAACAAGTACACATTTCCCTTCCATCCCACGTCGTTTATCCACGACGATAAGAGATGTTGGGTATATCAAGGAAGTTTTTCTTCCAGTTGGGTGGAGTTTTCTCGGGTCAAAAGAAAACTTTGTGTTTTAGATAATGGAAGCTGTTTGGCGTTTCATTTACTCTTATTCCGCCAAGGTCGCTTGCGGGCGAGACGCTACATTTGATATATCAACACGAAATCATCAGTGTTCAAGAACTCTACCGCCTCGCCCGCAAGCGACCTCGGCGATTTGAAACGAAATCGTTTCTTATATATCTTTGTAAAGATACAAAGTCTTTTATAAGACGACGTTTATCCTCATTCAGCCGAGGTCGCTTGCGGGCGAGGCGCTACATTTGATATATCAACACGAAATCATCAGTGTTCAAGAACTCTAGCGCCTCGCCCGCAAGCGACTTCGGCGATTTAAAACAAAATCGTTTCTTATATATTTTTGTAAAGATACAAAGTCTTTTATAAGACGACGTTTATCCTCATTCAGCCGAGGTCGCTTGCGGGCGAGGCGCTACATTTAATATATCAAGATTATATATATCAGATTTGAGGCAAAATCGTTCCTCATAAGAAAGTTTTTCTTCCTTGTGGGTTATTTATCGGGGACAAAACAAATTGTGGTGTTTTAGTTAAACGCGATGTTCGAACAGCATGTCCCACAGTTGTTATTGGAACCCTTCTGGCGTTTCGAAGGGTCGTAACTGTAAAAAGTAAACGACGGTGGGAAGACCGCGTGACCATTCGGTAAAAAGGGGTTCGGTTTTGTGCGTCGATAGACCGGAAAATTAGAAATTGTGAAAAGTGCCTCCACATGGCGTACCACCATCGATTTTCAGAGATTTTCGGGAATTCACGACAATTGTTGATGGAAAATGTAATAAGATTTATCCTTCTTTCAGCATTTTTTTCAGTTTTATATTGATAATTAGACTTTATCGTCCTTTATATCTATACGGAAGTCTGCAGATCGTTCCGGAAACGCAGGGAAATGGCTGTGTCGGAGTGGAGTCGAGAGAGGTTGGTAGTACTGGCAACCTTCCACCTATGCATAGAACCGTCGAAATGCCGGCGCGATTTCGGATATTCACTCGAACCCCATTTGGGCGATTTATGGCCTTGCGGGGCAAGCGGCCAAAATAAATTTGGACCTTGCGGGGCGGAGGAAACGCCCGAGATTAAATTGGATGCGGCACTAAGACGACTGCCGCCGTCGCCCGCCCTCTGCCTCCGTCACCCGATGCGAAAGAATTAAATGGGGGTAATTGGAACGTTTGCGATCGGCGGCTCGCTGGCCCGTCAAAATTACACGACGGCACAATTCGTCTTCTACCCTAGAAACTACATAATCGAGGACGTAATTGAACCCCGGGGTAGAGGTATTTTGGTAATGGGAATCTATTTTCATGCTATTACGTACAACACGATTGGAAATCTAGAGGAATTTTAATTGAATACATAACCATTCATTTTCAATCGGGAACATACTAATTATACTTTCTTTTCTATTAAAAAAAAAGGTATATTACCAATTGGGATATATTCGGAGCAAGTGAGAAGCATTGGGAGCGATTCAAAATAATTAGGAGCCTCTAAAAACATAGCTCCTGAATGTGTTATTAAAAATTTTGAAACAATATAATTTGTATATTATATAAAAAATAAAAAAAATCGTTTTTATAGAGCTTATTAAAGACAAAATCTTTTACGTCGTTTTAATAGACCCAATAAATTCTCTCGACGTTACGGACTGAATAATATCTCAAATCGACAATGAACGCGATTTTACCGCGATTTATAGCCAATTTGCTATTGAACGGATATTCCGCTCTTTAAAACGATCATTCGTCAAATTAACACGATAAAATAAATTTTTACTTGTATCGATTTTTACATTATTATTACCATTTCTACTCGCAAACGTCATTGTGGCTTTATCGATGATCTTATTGAATTTTTTATTGGTTTTCTCCTTTATATATTTTTTTTGTTTTTTCTTAAAGTGGTTTAAAATCATGTTTGAGTCAGTCTCCTTTTCTCTTTCCAGTCTCCCTTCTTTCTGTACAGCCTCTTTAATGCTTTTCTGGTATCTGTTTTGTCCTTTTCTTACCAGTCTCTTTTCCAGTCATAGTGTCTGATTAGTTGGGTCCTTCTATTGTCAGTTTCTTTCTAGACTACCATCTTTCTGTTTAGTTTCCTTTTTTCTTTCGAACCTCTATTTAGTCTCATTCTTCTATTTCCAGTCTCTTTCTAGACTCCCACCTTTCTACAAAGTCTCCTTTTTCTCTTTCAAGACTGTATTTAGTCCCTTTCTTCTATTAGCAGTTTCTTTCTGATATTCCTCTTTTCTGCTCAATGTCCTTTTCACCTTTTTGTCCTCTATTTAGTCTTTTTCTTCGATTATATCAGTGTTTTTCCATTCTCCTTCCATCATATACAGTCTCCTTTTTTCTTTTCCAATATCTGTTCAATCTCTTTCCAATCTCCATGTTCTCTCCCTAGTCAGTATCTTTTTAGCCTCCCATCGTTATGCTCAGTCTCCTTTTCCCTTTTATTCTGGCCTATGTTTAGTCTCTTTTTTCCTTTATCAATCCCCTTGTGATCTCCCTCTTTGCCAAATATCTCTAGTTTCTAATCAGTACTCCTTTACGATTACTGTTTTACTTTATTTTACTTTGTTCTCATTAGCTTATTATAAAGCTTATTATTAATAATTATTGTTTTAAACATTAAAATCGATTAGGTTTTGCAAATGTTTCTGTTTAATAATGGATATGTTTCAAGCCGGTGAACGTTAAACGTAAATTAAATATTAGACCAGGTTCGTGCGGAGAATGTGAATGATTAATGCGCAAACATTTCAAACAATTTAGGTACCAAATATTTAAGCGTTTTAATGAATACGAAGTGTAAATGTTTTTTTAATATCTTAAAATCAGTCTAACAATTTATTAGATATCTTTTTGTAATTTCTCGAATAAAGATACGTTGATAGTTGGACAGCGAGAAAAATAACCACAACATTGTTCGAAAAGTTCGGACAGTAAACGGGATCGTAAAACTTTTCAGAACTAAAATATATAGATCTTGTCGACGTGGAAGTTCAATCAAAGCGTACAAGATCGGATAGTTTCCGGATCCTGCTTAAGGCTGTCGAGTTACTACCCCGGAGGAACAACATCTGTATTAATTTCCGTATCGATTGGTTACAAAATCAAACTATCTAAAGCACTGGGGTATAAGATCAACACCGCACAAACTGCGATAATAAGATTAAGTCGAACTTGTAATTTACTCGGCAAATATAGATTTATTAATATTTAAGGTTCGAAAAGTTCGTCCATTAGCAAAGACATTAATACATATTATGGTGGGCTTTTTTTTCGTATGTGAGTAAAAATTGCGCCGTTAATTTGCGAATTTTTTCAATTCGGTGCAGATGGTTTTCCGGAATGGAGATTGCTGCAACACGCCGACGGCCCCCGTGTCCCATTTGTTCTAATTCCGTTCCATTCGAACAGGAATCGAACAAACGGAACAAAAGAGACTGCAGCACACCTGATATCGGACGGCTTATCCTATAAAAGTGCTTTTTCACGCGAAAAATAACGCGACAAGAACCACAATGGAACGGGGTGATATAAAAGGAATTGTTCGAAATTAATTTTTGATCTAACTAAGTACTGTAAAGTTTTCGATATCGTTGAGGAGGAGGAGGAAGGAGCTCAACGTTTCTCTTTGAGATATACTCCAACCCCCATAACCTACACGATAATTACGAAACAAAGTTTTAGATCCCTCCGCCGTCTCGTCAAACATTCGTCGCGTATTTACAGAGGCGGTTTCGAGAACGGGAGGCGAAAGAAAGGAGGCGCCCTTTCTAAGAGGGTGCCTTCACTAAAGATAGAGTGTGCGAGGTGGGAGGAGAAGGATAAGTTCGAAACTGCGCCCCCGGGTCTCAAAGATGAGAGCAATAATCGCAGTTGCCCTTCTCAACTAAGCCAAAAGACGGAGGGTGTACGTGAAACCCACCAACCATCCCACTTTCTTGACTCGCGGCGAATTCTAGAAACCCTAATTATTAATTATTACGGGAGAGAGAATGCCAAAC